GAACCCTCAAATTCCAGCCAATTCGATTGCGCTGCAAACCCGTCATCCAATGCTATATGTTTTCCCCGTGGCATCAACTCCTCCACGAATTGTCTGGGGAATAAATGGGTAGAATTACCAACTTTACAAGTTTCCAAGGTACTTCAGGATCCCCTGTCCCTATTGCTGACAGTGAGCGATGCAACGTTCACAACATTCCTTACATTGTGGAATTTTCCACTGAATCGTATAATTTCGTGCATGGCTTAACTACCTTCACGGCGACAGGCGAATTGATGGGTATGAATTTTAACTTTTCAAATTTTAGAGATTCTCAAGGTTTTTAGGGTCGAAACCTCCTATGATTGACCGTGAGCCATGAATTTTGCCCAACATTTTATAGAGCGTGAAATTCTGCATCGAATACTATATGATTCGTCGGTGACTTAAGCACCTGAACGAATCGTCAGGGGAATTGATGGGAAAAAATTTGAATTTTTTCAGGTTTTGGAAGATTTCTACGGTTAAAACCATTTATGATTGGTCATGAGTCATGCAGTTCGTACACCATTCGATAGAGCTTGAAATTGTGTATCGAATGGTATATGTTTCGTCGGTGGCTTGAGTACCTAAACGAATCGTCAGGGGAACTGATGGGTGGAAATTTGAATTTCTTCAGGTTTTTGAAGGTTTCAGCGGTTAAAACCATTTATGATTGGTCATGAGTCATGCAGTTCGTACACCATTCGATAGAGCTTGAAATTCTGCATCGAATGGTATATGATTCGTCGGTGGCTTAACTCCCTTAATGAATCGTGAGAGGGATTAATTGGTTCATTTTGGAAGTGTTCTGGTTTTCTTGGTTTTTTTGTGTCAAAAGCGTCTATGATTGATCGCGGGTGCTGCAAGTCATATACTATTCGATAGAGCGTAAAATTTTGCATCGAATGGTATTGTTTTCAGAAGTGGCTTAAGTGTCTGTGCGAGTCGTCACACGTAATACTTTCGAAAAGCCGGTTTTTCGGACTTTCCAAGATCCCAATTGGTTATGGGAGACTTTTATCGAAGTGGTTTATACCCTATCGGATAGAGCAGGAAATTCTGCGTCGATTGACGTATGACTTACGAGTGGCTTAAGTACTCAGGCGAATCGTCATGGTTTTTAGGAAAATTGGTAGTTTACTCCTATGGCGGTTTTCGATTGTTTTGGGTTTTTTGGCGTTCGGTTGGGAGTTTCGGGGAATCGGAGGACACCATTCGATAGAGCTCGTTGAGTTCTAGGTGGCTTACTAGTTTTCTTTTGTGGCTTAGTCGCTCAGGGGAATCGTCATGGAAAATACTCGAATCGGCTGCTAACTTTCCTTACATTCTTTCATATATTTTTCAAGTGTAGTTCTAAACAGCAGCAATGTATTAATTTAATGTTCTTCTAGATTATAGTTCGTTCGTTGACATCGACATTAAACTCTCGGCGTCGAATACTTTTCTATGAACGATATGCCTCTGAAAATCCTTCCTTTAATTTAAACTTTTATATTTGAAAAAAAAGAATAATATATTTTGCGAACAACTTTATATTACAGAATTACACCGGGAACAACAAGACAGCATGCCGGCAAATTTTCAAGTCTTTCGTGGACAAGGTTTGTCCATGGAAGACTTTGAAAAAATAAAAAAAACCAAAGGAGGACTTATGTCCTTTAATAATTTTCTGTCGACAAGTCGTGATCATGAGATATCTTTGAAAAACTTTGCATGGCCCGCTGCAAACAATCCCACTTCAGTCGGGATACTCTTTGTTATGAACATTCACAAGGCGATTTGCATGAAATCATCAACACCATTTGCTGAAGTAAGCAAAGTTGGTTACTACGAAGGTCAAGAGGAAGAAATACTCTTCTCGACACATACGATTTTTCGCATCGACCAGATCGAACGAATAGAAGATAAACACACTGATCGGTTATGGCAAGTTACTCTCACCCTCGCAGGTAATCAAGATGATGATTTTAACAAACTCACGACACACCTGCGAGAAGAGATTAGTCCTGAAACCGGATGGTCTCGACTGGGTTTTATACTTATTACAGTGGGAGAGTCACAAAAAGCAGAACATCTCTATCAGATACTCCTCGAAAAGGCATCTACTGACGAACAGCGATCGAGTTATAATTATCAACTTGGTTCCGTGTATTGTAGGATGGGCGAGTACTCGGAAGCACTTTCATGCTATGAACGATCACTTGAAATCCTGAAAATAACTATACCTCCAAATCATCCCAACTTCGCCCTAACCTACAACAACATCGGTTTGGTGTACGCTAAAAAGGGCGAGTACTCGAAAGCACTTTCATCGTATGAACGATCACTTGAAATCCGGAAAAAAGCTCTACCTCCAAATCATCGCGACTTCGCACAATCCTACAACAACATCGGTATGGCGTATGGTGAAAAGGGCGAGTACTCAAAAGCACTTTCATGGTATGAACAATCACTTGAAATCCAGAAAATAGCTCTTCCTCAAAATCATCCCGAACGGGCTCTTTCCTACAACAACATCGGTTCGGTACATTATAGTACGGGCGAGTACTCGAAAGCACTTTCATCGTATGAACGATCACTTGAAATCCAGAAAATAGCTCTCCCTCCAAATCATCCGGACTTGGCTACTTCCTCCGCCAACATTGGCTCGCTGTATGCGACAATGGGCGAGTATTCAAAAGCACTTTCATCGAATGAACGATCACTTGAAATCCAGAAAATAGCTCTACCTCCAAATCATCCCGACTTGGCTTCTTCCTACAATAGAATCGGTAATGTGTATAATAAAATGGGCGAGTACTCGAAAGCACTTTCATCGTTTGAACGATCACTTGAAATCNTTATGCATCCAGCTTTTTTAAGAAGACTTCATCACATAAAATAAAATCTGCCTACTTCGATTTATGCGAACACTTTAGTCGAGCAAACAAAAATAACAACATGAATAATAAGGACCACACTTGATTTCAACAGAACATAATATGATTTAGTTGTTTACATCATAATGCGATTCACACTGCAAAAAAAGTAATTTTGTGCCTAAATTCTAATCATTCAACTTCATTTTACCAGAGATATCTACTTTGGTTTTGTTGATATCAAATTTTAATTAAAGTTCAGTTTTTTTCCTGTGATATATAGGAAATTTGACTTCTTAAATGATTAGGCGCTGATATTTCGATAGTTCTTTTGTACTATTTTAGCACCTTCGAATCCTAATTGTTTATTTTGAGAGAGAAGAAACAAGGTTAGGCTACTTGCCTAAAATATACAGCTTATTTAAAAAGTAAATGAGATCTATCTTCTTTCGAAAAAAAATGATGACACTGTTAATTACAGACATTCAATATTTATCGAAAAACTAATAAGTTTAGCAGTATTATAAACGGAACGGTCCTTTTCGATTTGAGAATTGCAAGCCGACTATCAGTATCACTCAAAAAATAATTCTTCGACTGTTATTAAGTGTAATTTCATCAAAGTTGCATACTTCAATCGACGTTTAAGCGGCTAAATTTAAAAGAATGATTTTGAGTATTTCACAAAAAAAACATTTCCTAAGCAAACCTTAATAATCCACATAAATTTTTGAAGTTATAAACATTTTTAAAAATCAGTTTAAAACTCCAAAAAACAGAGTCTTTAATTGTGAAATGGTCAAAATTATGCATTAAGGAGTTATTATTCGTTTTAATGGCCATTTCACCATTATTTATTTAAAAAGACGCATTTTAATGGTCGAAATGATCTAGCTACAAGTACTGAAGTATTTTAATGCCCATTTCTTCATTACTCACTTGACTGGGTACTGTCGCATTAGGTAGTTCGATTTCATTCATTTTTTTCTTGATACCTTATTCTTAACACTAAATAGCTCATTTGAAAAATAATAGTTACACGCTAATAGTATTCTTACTTTTTTCTAAAAAAGGTAATTTTATATGTACCTATTATTCTTAGCCATCAATTTTTATAAGTGTCTATTGTTTTGCACATTGGGTTGTCGGGATAAAAGAGCACTTAATCTCTTAAACCCATATGCAACATCATCCACATCCACACCTTCAAGATTGATGACGGAAATTATTGCTAAAAATTATTTAAAAAAATTGTAATTCTCGCTTTCCTTTTTTACGAATACTTAATTATTGTATAACCTGTGTCAACAATTACAAATGAACCTTGCGATATGTTTTCTCCTATATTCATTCATCAATATAAATACAACATTACACTAACTAACTACCGTTAAAACGAATGGCTAAGTGGATGGATAGTGATCCAAATTCTTGAACTCCATAGTTTGTAGATGAATTTAATAAGTACTGATGAAGTATTTGAAATCAAGTCATGCATTACCTGAAATACGGTGCTTGCCGACGCAAACAAACTCTGGATAAAAATGAAAGAAGTGTGAAATATCACGCTTAAAAAATTAAATTTATAACTGTAGAGAAGCTCAACTTGCTGCATGGAATACCAACGAATAGTTAATGTTTTATGCTGCTCACTTTCTTCGTCTAGCATATGTTCTATGATTTCAATCAGTACTCTCTTGCATCAAAGAGTTTATAGTTCATGTTAGATTTTCATCTTTACTAAAAATATTAGCGCCATCAGGAGTTCGTGAGATTTTGCATGCAACATCATGAATGAGCTATGATAAAACAGTAACTTAGTTTTTTTACTTTATGCATAACAAATAATTGAGTGAAAGTGCTACACGCTTTCACACTATGAGTAGACCATAAGATATATTATCTAAAAATTGATTTCTTCAAAACAGTAAGATCAGTATTGTTCAGCTATTGTTCTCAGAATGTCACATTTTTAGGGAGTGATATTGTGCGTCACAATGCGTAATTTTTGAGATGCTGAAAATGTTATTAGATAAATGAAAAACATTCATCTAAGCTTAGTTTGATTTATACATGATTTTGTGTTATGATGGGTCGAAAGAGAACAATATCGACATCGGAATATTCTTTTGATTAATGTATTGCAATCAAAGTAATTGTAAAAAGAATGAATCGGGCATTAGTCTGAGTTGAGTGTTCTCTTCACTGACACCAACATTCACAACCCATATAAAATTCATTTTCTCAACATACTGTGATGGATAGCTTTGATTAATTCTCACAGAAAGAGAAACACATCATTGGTAGTAATTTTGTATTATATATCTTCTGATGGAGCATTTATTTTATTTTCGAACCGACAAGTAGAATGAATTTTTTGGAAAAAATGAAGGAGAAAAATGTTTTTCTATTATTCGATTCGTCAATTAGGAATTGGTGAAGTTTGAACTATTTATTTGATCTAAATTCTTTATGGATTCGAATCGATTATTGTCGTCAAGATAGAATTCTTTGTTTTAATGAATTATGGAAAATAGAGGAAGGGTGTGGGTGTGGGGTAACACGAATGGTGCTTCCAGGACACTTGTTCCCCAACGACACTTGCTCCCCGAATAGTTGAGGATGTAGGCGCAAGTCTGAGTGAGAGTGAGGGCGTAGATGTGGATGGGGATGTAGGTGTGGGTGAGGGCAAGACAGAGAGTGAGTTTCGGTTTTGATTTGGGCTTGATCTGGGCCTCGAGAGCAAATGTCGCTGGGGAGCAACTGTCGCGGAAGCATCTGTCCAGGGAGCATCTTTCATGGAACCGGGTGTGGGTGTGGATGAAGGAAGGTCCCCAACTAAATCCACCCACCCACATCCACACTCTCATGCACATGGTTAATACTATTCTCGAACAGTGGAACGTTCTTCGATAATGGAAAAATACCAGCTCAAAGAATGTCTTGCATTTCAGTATCATCGGAAATGGAAACATATCCTTAATTTAAATTAGTATTATATCTAACTTTTCTTGTGTACATAAAAGAAAATAAGCTTTGTTCTGTTTATCAATAGCTTATTAGAGTTAAAAGCAACCAGTTTAAAAGATAAATCTAAAAGCTAAACAGTCATTATTTGTTCGCAGATGGTGAAGAAAATGATAATTCAATTATTATAGCAGCAACATTGATAAACAGATTGGGAAAAAGCTGTATTGGCTGCATCGACGCTAATACAAATCATTCATAGTGTTGCGATAAAGGAACAAAAAAAACAGGAATGTCGGAATTAATCGTGTTTAGAAAAAAGAGAGCAAGTATTCTACTATGAATCTCGTATAAATAAACATCCGTTTAATTACACGTCATCATACTTTTGGGTCTAATTATCGCACTTGTTTGTCATAACTAAAACAAATCTTAGATTATCGTATATAATTGTAGAAATCGTCAGTATTCTTTAATTCTAGATTTTAAAAATTTATCTCCTGAACAAGATTCTGTTACTTATTCTACATCTATTAAAATGGAGTAACTGATTTTTTAAGAATCTAACAATATTTAATGTATTGAAATCTTTCGTAATTCTCCGATATGTGGTGATATGGACGGTCTTCGACTATTATATGGAGAAGATTTTAATATTTGGGACATGGTAAAGAGAATTATATTCTTGTTAAAATTAGAAATTAATCTATTTGTGTAATTAATAGTACAGAGAAGCTTTAGAAAAAAAAATTCGAGGTCAATTTAATTTATTCGAAAACGATACACTCACACCGATTCAAGTAGCTAGACAGATTGTCTCTAGAAAAAAAAAATTTTTCAAGGTATTACATATGTTTTTGAAAATCATAGTTAATGTTAATAATGAATATAATCTTATTTGACAATTGGTTGAATTATCCGATAAAACATGTCCGACATCCCGTCTTTGGTATGTTCCATGACAAAACGATACACATGGAAATGAAGATCAAGTTGCTGTGCATGAAAAACTTTCCGAAGATCCAAATGAAGATCTCGGTGATTTTTAAAATTTAAACAATACAATGAATAAGTATTTCCATATCTACTTATTTTATTCATCTATTTAATCTAAAAGAATTACTTGTCGCTTATCTATTAAAATTGTATAGTTAGAATTTTTCTTAGAAAAAAAATCACGTGCATGAGAATTTTGTATTCAATGTACTTTCTATGCATTTTAATATTTTAATCAATTTCTTTATGAAATAATTGAAAAGTTATTTTTAGCGTTATTATTCGATTCATCATATTTTAATTACAATTTATTCATCAGGTCTGACAATTTGGCTATATTCCTAAGAGAGTGAACTCGAAGTAATGGGACAGCTTTTGTGCAAAAGTAAAACATTCCATCAAGCACAATAATCGTCATCCCCGTTCAATGATTCTTATACACAATCTCTTAGATAGAACATGTTTCTATTATTTATAATCATTTTTGATTTTAGTTCATCGGAAAATATACAGTTCTGTTCATTTTTCAATTCACCATCATCGAATGGGATATAAACTGACTATTAAATCATATGGATATTGCGAAACTCAATAAAACAATTGTTTTGTTACTCTGAATCTTCACGATCATAAATATATCTATCTAAAAGAACATCAAGATATGATGGAAGCTTTATCGTTTGAGCTGAAAGCTACAGAAATGATTGGTAACTTGGAGAGGTATAACGGGTGAAAGCTTCAGATCAATAGACTTTTATTTTCTAATTTTGTCGAATTTGTCTGAAGTTCTCGTTGCCCTGTACAATAAAAAATAAAATGCTTTATTGAAATAATGCTCGTCGGGTCAAACTTCAGGATACGAAACATTTGATTGTATGCGCAAGTAGTGCCAAGTTCGTAGTCTTGAAGAAAAATGTTGAGCGAATTCTATCAAGCTGATTTTGGAGAACGTCAATCACTAAGATAAACTACTTTTGAGCCTACTTTATAAATAGAATAGCACTGAACTGACAATTATAGTAACAGCTTCACAATGACTTGGACAGTATTCGATAGGACGGTTGAATAATCGATCTCAAAATCTATAGTTGGTAAATATTTCAAAACTCTATCACGTAGCTGTGAGGAGATATGCTGACGACAATTCAAACAAACATTTAACAAAAAGTGTTTAAAATCGATAGAAGGCTATTTTGGGTGATATTAATCCGATGATCATATCTCAATTAATAGGAATCAGTTAAATCTGAAAATTTGGCTGTGTTGGAAAAAAATTAGCTCATCAAACGGGCTAACTTTCATCAAAATTTGAAACTATCGATTGAGCAGCTTTGTCGAAAATCGGGCGTGGCTCTTATGAAGTGACTCCTAAGAACTGAATTGGATACATCGTGGCTTACACGAAATCTCTGTTAAAATTTTAATAATATATCACCTGAACAATAACTGATATACTCCATTAATCATTTTTCTAGGATAGTAAATAGTTTATTCAACAAAATTGAAAGAAATTTAGTATGAATTCATCAATAGAACTATGCTTCTGTGTTGACTGTTGACATTGTTAAATTGAAGCGTTTTAGAAGAAATTTGTTGATTTTTTCTAAAAAAAAGAATTAAAATTTCAGAGAACTTAGGGAAAATTGCTAAATAATAAATAAATTTACTCATCAGATTTAGTTGTATTTCACGAAAAACAAACAAATAGTAGAATACCAAGCCGACAAGCATAATAATGAGTGCAACAAGATATCCAATATTTGGACTGGATATAACAGGTGCAATAACAAGATAGATAGAAACTAATATCATAAAAATAATTACAGGTATTGGCACCTATAAAAAAAAACGAGATATCTTCTCGTTTACGTTCTATAAAGAAAAACAAACATACTTTAATAACTCGATCGACTTTAGCTTTCGTAAATTTACAGAATATTGTGGCAAGAAATGTCAGTCCAAAAAAGACCCAAGCAACGAAGCTGACAAAATCGATTAAATTCCCAATATTACTGGGAATACAGTAGACAATACTGAGAATAGTCTTAAGAGATAAAGGCAATAAATAAGTAGTTCCAAAAAAATTAATAGATTCATTTAGTACGAACCATAAGTACAATACTCGGTAATGGTGTTAATCGTTGTTTTTGAATGCAAGAAAAAATTTCAGGTAAATATCCATAACGTGCGCCTACCGTAAAATAACGACCAGAAGCATAAATCGTTGCATTGGCACTTCCCAATGCACTAAACGAAACCAGAATCGGCAATGCACGAACAGCAGGACCTAACACAGCTTCTCCCCATGTCTAAAAACATTCATAAAACGAAAGATCCAACATAATTACATAAGTGAATAGTTAAATTCGCAGCTCGTACAAACCAGAATCTAACTATGGATGCATCTCTTGCTTCTGTCAGTGAGAAAATCTGAGTGACGAATTGAAAAGATGTGAACGAATCTAAAAAATCTAATTAAAAAAAATGCTTTACGAAAGTATACTTCAGCAATCGAATTATGAAAAAAATCAATAAAAAACTTCCTAAAGAAGTTAGTCACAGATTAGTCAAAGTTCTAATTCAGCATTCCAGCAAATAATGAATGAATTAATTGGTTGAGTTCGAATTTCTTTCTGCTACATGGTGAAACAAGATCGACTTCAGAGATGTAGATTCATATTGTGGCCAAGGTTCAAGCTATGATGCATTGGCATTTATATGTCATATGAGTTCTGATTGAATATGAGAATCAGTAATGTATCAGTGGCCGTAGTGTAGAAAAATTACATGAAGATCATTGAAGATGATATACAAGAAAATGTTTGGTTTTTCAGCGACAATGTATTAAAAACAAATGCTGTTTTCTACTTATATATTGTTAAGTGTTTATCATGTATGATGGGTGTTTGAAATTTCTTTAAGTTTTGTATGGTTTAATAAGACAAGAAAATTACATTTTGTAGGACAAAAATGATTCCTAGTGAATAAGAGAAATTACTTTTGATAGAACGTCTTATCATCTACTTCTAGTCGATGTGCATTCATGCCTTTATTGACATATCGCGTCTCAAGTATGATTTTCCATGTGGATTTACTTTAAGTGACTTGTATAAGAAATGGTTATCATATAGATTTATGAGGTTATCAATAAACAATACAAATCCAAATTCATCAGTTTTAAAACTTCTCTATGGATATTTGGTTCTAAAACTAACTTTGAGAGACTTTCCAATTTTAGCATTCTCATAGGGAAACGACGACAACTCTCGAGGGAATCTCTCCATGTGTTAAATTGTTTTGGGTTTAGAACTATATTCTTTCGATGAATACTGATGAAAGGTGAAAACTTGTAGAAGAATTTGGTTTTACAGGCCTTCGTTCTTCTAATATTGAACTTTTCAACAGAACACTTTACTCTACTGAGAAGTCACATTGAAATCGGCCGTTCGAGCTCTGACTGTGTTATTTTCGCAACTAAATATGTAGCACACTCTTCAGCGGCGGCAACTATAAAAATAAGTGTTTGTTTTTCATGCTCATGGCAGCAATGGCTTGGATTCTTCACTGATGTAGTGGCCAGAAAGTTCGAAACTGAATAATTCTTTACATGATAAAAGACACATCTGTTTATTTCAATATCAGACTACTTATAGCTTCAAAAACTTGAATGAATCAACTATATTTCGCACGTTAAGTTGATCAAGCCAATAAATGTAGGAAATAAAGAACGGAGTAATAAATTAATACACAATTTTGTCCAAATTTAGAAGATGTAGCGGCTCAAAAGTAAGACAGTTTTAGTTGATGTATATCAAGATATAAGAATACCTGCCAACTTTAGTGATTAGTCATAGCGTCCGAAAGACTATCACGACAAAAAAAATAATTTTGATCGATGTTCAAGTTGAAGTACTAATTCTAAAGCTTTTGTTGTATAGCGGCTTGGAGAATGCAAAGATAGTGTGTAATTTTGTTTTAGTTTGGTGTACTGATGAGTTCTTATCACTCGATGGATTACCTCTAATTGATTTATAATACTGCTTGTGCCTCAAATATGACGAAAACTGCCAAGTCTTTTTCGACTGAGGACGAACTACCATATAGTTTTTTAGCGTTTTTTATCAAAGCAAATTTTACAATAAAATCGCTGACTATACAATGTTTTGCTTGTTTCGTTGTGCCTGTAACGTAAATGACAGCAAGTAAATTATCTTTTTAGTTTATTCAGTGGCCTTATTGGAGTAAAAAGACTTTTAATAAAATCACAAAGATCTTTATATAGAGTTGTAGGTTCAGGTGCAAATCAAATTGAAGCTGTCAATATTAATAAAAGCGCTGCGTACTTATATTTTTCCAGATGTCGAGTATTAGTTTTTCCAACATATAAATAACTGAAAGAGTTAAGAAGAAATTTTCTAATGCAAACATTAACGTATATAGGAAAAAACGACTTTTGCTTTCGGATTTCGGCGGCACCGTGAGTAAATCGATTGCTGCTCAGCAACAGCGACAATGACGGTTCAGTTGCACACTTTACACCCATATTCGCAACTGCTATTATCGATTAGCCTTGTATATTGTGAAAGTTTCATGTTCATTTGTTGCTTTTTCACGCGACAACATTTTTCAGTATACGCGTGGTAAAAATAATAGCAATGGGAAATGTTGAAATATTCAGAGTGCACTAGTATCATTGAGACTATTATCGAGTTAGTTTTGCAAAGGTTCGATTCACAATTTAAAAGTCAACTTTCAATGTCAGTTGAAGTAGGCTACGTGTTTTTGTTGAAAAATTCAGTACAAAATCTATTTTTCAAAAACTTAATTAACAAGAGAAGGTAGATAAGAGCAAACAGTTAGATTCAAGTGAGAAATTGCAGAAAATACTTAGTTATTCGAAACAGTCATTAAGAGGATAGCTTCCGGTTCTCGTTTTCTGCCCGCTATGTGAGAGATGGACTAGAAAACATGTGTAGCTTAATTGCTACTATTGAACTCAACAGATTCAGCTGTAACACTGATGACAATATCATCAAGGTATATATTATTCATTCAGGTAGCTAATTAAATTGATATTTACCATAGCTACAGCATCAGAACTTAGTAATTCAGCTTTGCTCATCACTGTAAAATAGGATATGTTGGTCAGAAGATATAGAATTATTACTGATGAAAGAGCCACTACAATTGACAGCCACAAATTTCTATAAAACATGTCAAACAATCAATGATATTGGTTGAAATCATTCTTTTTTTTAAATTAAATATGATTACCTTTTCGGGTTTTTAAGTTCCTCGGTTACCGAATTCAAACTTGCCCATCCGCCGTAGGCCCAGAGGCCTGAATAGAAAGCAAGTGAAATACTTAATGGATTGTTTGCTGTACCTATTTTAGTGTGAATACTCGTGAAACAAATTATCAATCTTTGAAGAAAAAAAATAATCGTAATTACCATCAAAGCCATTTTTAAAATTTTCAGTATAACCTAATCGAAATAAAAGAATTCTTCTAAGAGTTGTGCTTTTTATTCTCTTCTATAGATCTTCAAAAACCTTGTCCAATGCGTACGAGACCGCCTATTATAATTACTAAAATTGTCACAGTTTTGGATATGACAAAAACAATATTGAGTCTATTCGCTGCCGTCACACTAATTCCATTTACAGTGCCGAGGATTCCTAAGTCACATCATGTATTTTCATGTAGAAGAGAAAGAGAAATGAAAGTGAATCAATTAACGCACCGATTACAAAGATTGCCAACATTTTGATTAGTTTTATCGGCGGGCTGGGACCTAGTATATTGATTAACTAAAAAGAAACAAAGATAAATAGATAATTTTATGTTTACTATTCATGACTCCCGATAGGAAATATATTCCAAATGTTAAAGAAAGAATAGCAGCACTTGATGGTTGAAGAATGAATGTATTCGCCCAATTGAAGACAAAAGCAAGCACATCACCAGTTCGAGCATGAACCGATCCGATTCCTAGTTTAGAGATCAATTAGTGGCAAACGTTCCATGAGAAAAAATTATGAAAAACACTGTTACAAACGCCACATTTTACAAAAAAGTTACTTATTCAGTCGAATGGATTATATTTAATCCCTACACATTTTTTTTCTCATTTTGAAGCATTATTTAAAAACATCGATCGAGTGTACTTGATACCTTTAAATGCGATTTTTAGCATTCTTGTACTGGAAAGAAGTCAATATTTTTAGAAATATGTTAAAGCACAATATTTATATTGTCTTTTTGTTGTGATAAAAAATGAGCTATTGTACTAATTGCATTCCTGTTTTTAGTGAAATCACTCTTTTATGGAATCAAAAATTTCTGAATTATGCACAAACTTTTCGTGCTATGAAACTCAGAAATATATCACTTAAACATAACTACTCTCGAGATAATCATACAGCTATAGTACAGTAGAATGCATTTAAATTTAAGGAAAAAACAAATAGTTTTATAAAACAATGTGATTTACAAATGAATAAAATGAGTCTTTATTCATTAAAAGATTCCTTTGAATACGTTAGAAAGATTAACAAACACACGATACTGAGGTAAGAATTGTGCTAAATTTTTTTCAATGTAATAACGAATCGTACGGTGCTTTTCAAAATTCTGAACAGAATTTCCAACTATCGATAGTTAGAGCATCGCATATTCACAATGAAATCTCGAGAATATCTATAAAGTCTCTACTCGCCAAATGATGCATTTTAGCATGCATAAAGTTTCGTTCTCTTCAAGCATCATTTACAAGTAATGCCCATTGTAACCATTTTTTTTCTATTTTTTTCTTTCTTCCATAATAGTAACTACTGTAGTTTTGCATTCTATTTCGACAACCAAATCAACGCATTTAGAAAGTATGCATCCACTTCTCTTCTCTTGTTATGTCTGTTATCTTTCATTGATGAATCTATGGTGTTACAATAGATTTAGGCAGAAGAAAAACAGACATATGACGGTTTTTCATTTGAACTAAACTCAATCGTTCCTTTACTATCTTCAAAATAATCTGTGTGATAGATGATGCTCACGAAAATACGCATTTGTCCCAAAAACACTGAGGAAAACCCAAGGAAAAAGCTGTTAGCGGAATCCCTTGCGGGATTAAAAATGCGAAACACGATGAATCTATTGTTACTAGTTAAATGGAAATCGTTTTGTTCCATTTCTTTCGATACATTTGTAGCTAACCGTTTATCTAATGCTTTAGAACCACAGTTCCTCTATCACGGTCTGTGATGGGTTCCGGACCTGTCTGTCACGGTCTATGATGGGTATGGAATTTCTCTGTCACGGTCTGCGGGGGGGCGGGGGTGTAAATTTCTGCCCCTAAACACTTCAACACTTCTTTCAGATCGTGTTTCACAAAAAACAGTTACTTTAACAAAAAACAAAGCACGAGAAGAATACTTATTGGGTGGAAATGAATAGTAAATTTTTTTCCACACGTCATACGTTCTTGTCTTTGGCTAAAGTGGTAATGAATTAAAGCAAACTATCACGACGACATACTAGAATTGAAGTCTCAAAATCATGTTTGAGTTATCATGGTCTATTAACACTTCTAATTTGATCGGATTCATAATTATACGGATAGCTTCGATTTATATTTTATGATTGTGAAGTTAGCATTTCTCATATTGTGATTTTTTTTTCTGATTTTTCTATCTATTTATTCATGTTAATAATTTTATCTCGATTTCTTAATAGTTTCTTTAGTCAAAACTTTAAAGATTTCAAGAAATATGTGTTAAAGTCAATATCACAAAAGTCGAGATGTAGTAAATACACTCAAGTAGTCTATTGCGGCATATTCAGAATACGAAGTATAAATCAATAGAAAGAGGATTTTTATATCAACTACATCTCGAATATTACGATGCTGTCTGAGATATATATTTTCCGAAGTCTCCAGAATTTTCAACTGAGAAAACATTGTTTTAAACTATACATACGATAACATAATTCATATGAACACAGGAATCGAAATCAAATCATATGAAAATTAATAAAACGTAGGATAAAGTACATGGTCTTAAAAGATTTGTTTTCATTTTTTTAAATATAAGACGCATTTAAAGAAAATATTTTACAAGTTGCTTTTTCATGTATTCAAAATAAAATGCTTTTAACAATATCAAGATTACCTTCTCGCATATAAGCTAATTCGGAACCACTCAGTGGTGTAACTGTGCCTATTTCTGCATAGCATAATGCACCTATAATAAAAATATGTATCTGAGAAAAAATATTAGCATTTCATAACTCAAAATCTCACCCAATATAGATATGAGACCACATAATACCCATATTACCAAACATAATCCAACCGATTCTGTCTCTTCTAGAACACCTTTTGGAGAAATAAATATTCCCGAACCTGATACAGAAAAATATTTCAAACAAGAACAGTTTGCAATCAACGCATCCTATTCACCAATGATCATGGCGAGTATGAAAGAGGTTCCAGAAAACAGACCAAGATGTCGTTTGAGGGTTTTATTTTCGTTAGACAATGTTTCAATTCTGTCAGAATTCATTTCTTCGATTGATCTACTAATTGAGCTTATATTTCGCTCTTGATTAGATGTTAAATCTGTATGAGCATTAGGAGAACCGGGTTCGGCACGATTTGTCTAAAATCATGAGAAACAAAACAAAAGCAATGTCTCTGTGAATTATATTTTGTAGAATTTGTTTTTTTTTCATTACCTGAATAGACATATCGTTGTTGTTGTTGTTACCTACTTCTAATCGTATTATTCGTAAAATATAACTAGGATTTAGAGTCTACTCTTTTCTTAATCCAACATTTAAATATCACAGTAAGCAATAAAAATAAGAAGAAGAGCACTCGTATTTAGTAACTAATACAATGACTATTAACCGAAATAGCTTCTTATTAACTGAATTATATGAGAGACTATAGTTTATTTGTATTGGCTAGTCATATGACAATTGGTCGACTGTAGCAGATGTGCAAAATCTACTGTAAAACAATTAGAATTCCTTCGAACGGAGAAATAACATGACTAATTTAAAAGTAAAATAAATAGTATCAATTAAACATATAGAAAGAGCTAGGATATCAGTACGACTGGGTCGGCTTCTGTTAGGTGTTAGAGAGAGTAGAGAATAATTCAATCGATTTTCCATCGAACCTACTTCTGCTCTAGAAGCAAAGAAGGCTTTCATAGGTCATGCGTCATTACGAAACACACAGACCAATTTTTAGAATTACTGTAACCGAGACCTAGACAACGTCTGAGAATGTTGACGGAATTCGTAGCTAACTGACGTTCGACGAGCTGACCGAATACGAATATGCGAAGAAAATTTGGCGAAATTCGACCAAGAATCATCGTGATTTCGTGGTGTAGTGAGAAATAGTGTGTCATT